AAATTCCATTAAAGATTTGTCTTGGTTTCATTTGTGACAAAATCGTTCATAAATTGGCTGTATATGGTTGTATAGAGAATCGTTCGATAATACACTCGCCATATTTGCAGTCATTTCATCGCCCCAGAAACCATCCTTCGTTATTTTTGTCATTACTTTTTCTACAATTGAGGATAGTTCTTCTTTTGTAAGTTTAGCTACTGATGATAGTCCAGCGGAAAAGTAAAAAAATCATGCACTTTGTGAAGAAAGCACCCAATTCACAGGAAGTGTAGATTTTAACGCGATAATGAATCTAGATATGGAGGCATCACCAAAATTGATGCTGACGGCTTTAAATTTAGGATTTCTCTTATTAAACTCTATTGCTGTTTAAAATTGTGAAATTGCAGGTTCACATATAGCAAAAATGACTTGCATGATTACAAAAAGCTTACAAAAAACTACATATAAGACTTTTAAACAGCTGATTGATTTTCCAAGCAGTTTTCCAGTTATTGCTATTTAAAAACGTGATAAATAGGCAAAAATCCCGCCAAAGTCCTGCACACTAGCCCTAAAACATATTTTCAACTGCTCATAACTCCAGAGGAGTTGGAAAATCAAAGTAACTGCTTAAATGTCTTATATTCAGTTTTTTGTAAGCTTTCTAATGACGCATGTCATTTTTGCTATATGTGAACCTGCAATTTCACAATTTTTAATTGTATAAGAGATTAATAAGAGAATATAAGAAAATAAGAGATTAATAAGAGAATATAAGAATTAATAAGAGAATTTAAGCCGTCAGCATCAATTTTGGTGATGCCTCCATATCTAAGATTCATCATGTTAAAGTCTACACTTCCTGTGAATTTGGTGCTTTCTTCACAAAGTGCATGATTTTCTCAAATATCTGTGCATATCCGCTGGACTATGAAGGCACGTTCTTGTTTCCATGTACGGTTTTGTTCATCTGTTTTGCATTTATATGTCTAGTCAACCCTCCCTTTGACTTACAAATCTTCTCACAGCTATTGCAAGGGAACGACTTTTCGCCGGCTATTTCACTTATGGCATCATCAATCTACACTTCCTTCGACCACAGACAAAGCGATGTCAAAGTTAAACGGCAAAATATCTTCACCTCCTAGACAACAAAACTCGAAGTACATTCACCTTCTATTTCTTCCTGAATCGACACAATTGCCTCCAAATCGTCGTCCATTACACTTAGTTATACTTTAGTATCACAGAAAGCCGAGTAACTTTAGTGCAATATTTTGGTGAGAAAAGATTGCCAGCTGTAATATAATCCCTTCCAAACGTTTTGCTACTGATTGAAGTTGAACTTCAAGCTTTTGCTGGGCAACATTTGGGGTGTTGATCGACACAGCCTTCTAAAGGTTGGCCAGGTTTTCAGCCTCTGCTAAGTTTTTTGGCTGCCCTAAAATGACATGACTTCTCAAGTTAGGGTGAAGGCCTTGAATGAAATGGTGCATCCCTTCCACATCACTTAGATCTAAGCTTTACACAAACGCCTTGTGTTGAAAGCATTATCAGCCAAAGGCTCTGTCTCGGCTTGTTTTCGAGTGGATAATTGCTATCGCCAAAGCCAAATAGATACTGGACTACTAAATTTGTCTTTAAGAGCTTTTACTAGATCATGGTATGATTCAAGCATTTGGGATAAACTGGAATACCATGAACTGGCATTGCCCTGGAAATAAAGTGCCATGGCTTGTAGCCTTTGGTCATCGTCCCGACCACAAAACGTCGAAAAATTCCTCAAAGTGAGTTATAAATGACAATAAATCATCTGTGGGTCTCCTACAAAAAGGTGTAGGGTAAATCCCAAGATTGGTGTGGTGTTGAATTCTTAATTCCTCCAGCTAGTGTTACTTTGTTTTCGTCAATTGACCTCACCAATTTGTCAATGGCCTTTGGCAGTTCAGACGACGCAACTCATGTCTAACTGATTAACTGAATTTCCCAAAGAACAATTTAACTCAAACTTGGCAGCAACATGACTGTGACTATGGGTAACATGATCCGAATATGATGACACAATGAAATATTGTTATAATTATGGTAAAAGCGCAATCAATTTTGTCTGCATCTATGTGCAATACGGGAAACAATATAACACATGAACACAAGACATAAAGTATAAATACAACACTTAAACACTGTTCCTAGGGATAGGTGATACCAGCTTTTTTCATTCAATATTGATATTTTCTCAACTCGAACAACCACAACAACAAAAGACTATTTTCATCTCTTCGACGCCAAAATCATGCTGGTTGAATATGTTTTCAACATGTTTATTTTTCATGATTGTAACTAACATAACTACAAACTTTGATGCTGGCCGTGGACCATTAAGCACCATAGAAAATGAACTACTTTGATACTATTTATGCCTATTTAGCCTTTTCGGTGTCATTTTCATTTTCACTTACCACGGTTGCCTTACCACGGTTGCCCTCCAAAATATTAATGTGGCACATACTGTTATTAGTGCAAATGTCACAAGATTCTAGCCGGTTGGGCATCGAAGTGTTGAATCATTCAGAAAAATATTCGTTTTATATATAAATTCAGATAGTGTTTCAGTAAGCTGCTAATAGTTAAACTTAAAAAACGTTGCATTTTTAAAACTAACACATAAACAAGCAGCGTTAATGCAAAAACTTGAAAAGCCAGAAAAGGTTTTCACTGCTTCGCAAATGCTAGTACTTCCACCTTCCAAAATCAAAGTTTTCTTTTTTGGCAAAATTTTCCTTTAAAAATTTTGCCATTTTTATATTTCCGATTAAGGCGATTTAATAAACAAGACGTCTGGTATTGCTAAACCAAAGCGGCTAGAACTGTAAGAACGAAATCATGCATCTGTGAGTATTAACTTTGCTTTCTAAACGTGATTGTAAGCAAGTTTGACTTGAAAGAGCGTTTCATTTCGGTATTAGGCAGCAAAATACCGAAATGTCAGTATATCGGTATTTTTAAATTGTCTATATCGCCAAACCAGTATGTAGACAAATACCGGTATATCGGATATTATCCATTATATCGATCCAGCCTACGCCGTCAATGTGTTGACCAGACCTTTTCGGTTGCTTTTTTTCAGCAGAGTATCAACACATTTGCCCGCACAACAAGTATATCACTGTCAAAACAACAGACAGCACTTAACAGGCTTACTTTACTAAGTATGTAATATACCAAACAATGTACATGCTTCCATGCATGCAAAGAAAGCACTGTTTTAAATAGTTAGTGAATGTTTAAACATGATTAAAAACTATAGTAAACATGATTAAAAATGTCGCGAGGAAATATATTTTTAAAAACACAAAGTAAAAGTAAAATATCTTACTTTGGTAAACAGTCAAACAGATACAATGTGTGCCATTATACTTTGTGCTTTAGGTCTGCGCTTTCTAAGTTAGCAAAATGTTGCCTTTTTTTGTAACGGTTCTTCAGCTTTTCAAACATTCAAAATTAAATATTGTTTGTATTTTGTCTTTTAAACTCTCACACAATCCACACAAACTGTGTGAAAATTAACTATCCAGTAATAGAGAAACACAGGTTTTTGTTTCTCTATAACTATCCAGTTATAGAGAAACACAGGTTTTTTGAGCTTTTGACCAATCAGTGCCCATGTTTTTAAAAGGCTATTTTATAATTATCAATACTCAATAGCTCATTGTTTATTGTCAGAGGTTTATTGTTGTATGTATCTGGTTTATTATTAACTGTCAAATTTCATATAACACTAGCCTCATCAACATTGTTTCCATGATGGGTGTCAATATATACAAAGTAACATATTTACAAAAATAACAAAAAGGATTTAAAAAAGGACAAAGGTGTGACCCTATCCAATTAATATTCAATTTAAAAACATATTCTGATTGGACTGATTTGCTTCCAAAGAAAGGCTATTCCAAAGTTTTGCGCCCCTATATTTGAAACTTTTTAAAGGAATTCCCTTTTCAGAATGGGTAATGCTAAATCAATAAATCTATTTCTAAGATTGTAAGATCCTTGCAATGCACTATTCATAGTGAACAAAATTTTCAAATTTGGTGCAGTATAATTACTCAAAATTCTATATATTAATATTGATTTATTCTATTTTTGTCTTTCCTGCAAAGTTACCCAACCAAGAGATTCAAGAACGTCAGCCGAATTAACTTAATAATTTGCGCCGGCAATTACCCTTGCCGTGATTTTGAAATTTTTGAAGTTTATTTTTTAAGAAGGACAACAATTTCCACATAAAGGAGAGCAATAATCAAAATATGGCTGTATCAAGGCATAAATCATTTGCAAAGTATTATTAGGATGCTTTCTTGATGTATGAACAACCGAAATACCTTTCTTTCCGAATAGCCTTCCTTGGCCTTCCTTGGCCTTCCTTAAAGTGTGATTTGAGAACAGGCCACAGTTCGTTCTTCATTCCAATTTTCGCAAATTATCTCATAAAAAAAGAAAAGTTTCTTCTCAAACAACGAGGATTTAATTTCATTTTGTTATAGCCAATTTAGATTATTGTCTGTTGCCATGTTATCTGTGACAAGTCCATGCATGCATGTTGTCAGTTTTCGTTTGGTTTTTGGAAGCACTACGTAAGAATACGTAAGTTCAAATTTTCACGCATTATTATTTGTCATGCTATACAAAACCACAAGGAAGTTCATGTTGGCTTTTGAACAGGTGTATTTGGCAAGGTTGAAATTCTGTTAAATTGTATACAGATAAGCAAAGAAAATTTGACAAGTAATTTAATTAAGCGTGTGCATGGCCTTTCAGTTGTGACATGCGCGTGTAAACGACCTATATAAGAAATACATAGCACCAAATAAGTTAACAGACATCACCCCCGACAATATATCAAACAAGTTCATATATAAAGCCTTACCTTTAACATACTATACAATAGCAAAGCATAGTTTGTTTGATCTCATGGCTGCAGATCTATTGTTAATTCTTCTGTGAAATGAACTACCTCATTGAACAGTTCGTCTTCTTGATGCCCAGTGAAATCTTCCCTGAATCACTTGTGCCATTACTTTTTTCATATCTGCTTGAAGGGCCAAGCTTTTCTTAAGGAACTCTTCTTTGGTTTGTAATATTTTATACGGTATAACGACAATCCTAGAGAATATGCTAAACGACAAAACAAAGTACAAAATGTTACAAAATATATGTGCAGAGGACTAAATATAAAAAAACACTTCACTGTGCAGTTTCGAATCATGCAATATGACAGTGTTATTTACCGCAACATCCTTTCCTTATTATTTGCCAGCACTCTTGCAATTGTCGATGGATTATTGTGCAAAATTGGAACCGTCCTTGGGGTGGCGGCACAACTGTCCTTTCCTCCTTTTTCCGTTTGGACTAAAAAGTTATATGGATCAAAGTTTTCATTTTTCATCCATATACCAAGTCATAAAAATTTATTATACTGCTGGATTGTATGAAATGAACTTGGTATAATGCTAATTTATCCCTTACCTTGTTGAGGGCATCAACAGTAACCTTTTCTAATACGGACGTATCTGCAACATCGTCCCACCAGAATGGCAAGCTCTGATGACTTAATGTCGCCATGGCACCCACATGTGAGCAATCTAAAACGGTAGAATGTACAAATTGAAAAAGAATGGTAAAATACTAAATTAAAATAGCTGTATTGCGTATCTATTTTTACCTCCAGTTTTGTTTTCATCTTGTCCAATTACAGCCATCACTGCTTTCACTGCAGTAAACTTTCCTGACACTGGATGACCATATGCCATGATCAATGGACTCCATCATACATAGTGGACAACTGTTCGTAATGCACGGCCAGTCCAAGTCCACCAAGCAGAAGTAAATTGGAGGGAAAATTTACACCAACATATTTTTTTTTTATTTTTGCAGGCTGGCACCCTGATCCAAATTGTCTATTAATAATTCTTCTTCCTTCATAACACTGAGAAAATGGGTGATCAGTGATTATCCTCTATTGAATTGTATTACAGCAAGAAAATGTGAAATTTTGTATTCATTTACAACAAAAATGACTTGCATCATCAGAAAGCTTACAACAAACCACATATAAGACTTTTAAACTGTTTTTTATCCTTCAAATAGTCTTTGAGTTATTGCTATTTTAAATGTGAAAATTGGACCAAAATGTTGCAATAACTAGGTCAAAAACGCATTTATGACAGCGTATAACTCGAAAACAATTTGAGATATAAAAAAACTGTTTAAATGTCTTATATGTAGATTTTTGTAAGCTTTCTGATGATGCAAGTCATTTTTGTTGTAATTGAATACAAAATTTCACATTTTCTTGCTGTAATACAATTTAATAGAGCGCCAGTATTACATGACGTATTGCCTTTGATATGCGCCCGCGAGTGACGGTGACGTTTATACAGTCTAGCGCAGGTTTTGTTTACTTGTATTAATTTGGCTCCTTGAATGAAAAGGTTGCCTCTTGTTTAAATATATTTCTATCTATGGATTGTGTGTATGACTTATCGTCTTATTAACTGGCGTGGTGGCAGCGCGGTTGAACTTACGCCAAGTTATCGGCGTCAGGAAACAACTGAGTGTTAAATGCCGATCTATGTCTAACTCTGAAATTACAATTTAAGTCAACACTTCGAATATTTCGCTGTAAAGCACGTCCATCGGATTAATAGTAGCAGTTATGGCTAGTACTCACCGAGCTCCAAAGCAATGGTGCCTTTCAAAGATCGAGACTATAACTAGCTTTGAAAACTGGAGGCAGAATTTAATCTACACTTTGTCACTTGACAGCAATTTCGCACCATTCCTGGCCGAAGACGCTACGTGGGGAAAGAAGACTAGGGCTCAGCCTTCACGTGGGTTTACAGATGACGGCGAAGCCGTTGCCCAGAACAGTCGTCAAACAACCCAACAGAAAGTAAATTTCTTGGAACTTATGCTTGGTCAAATAGCAAATTATGCCCAATCATATCTAGGAACACTTTGGTCAAAAATTCAACCTCTATACAGTCTATCTGGAATACAATACGAGAACACTTTGGTTTCCAAGTGACAGGAGCACACTTTCTTGATTTCGCAAATCTACGCTTAGAAACAGACGAGCGTCCTGAAGACCTATACCAGAGATTAGTAGCCTTTGTCGAGGACTGTTTACTTCGAGCTAACAGCCTCTCCCACCATGGGGTGCAGCTTGCTGAAGATGAGGAGTTATCACCAACTGTTGAAAATCTTATTGTTCTCACTTGGCTCAGACTTATCAACCCTGAGTTACCAAAATTAGTAAAACAAAGGTACGGCACAGAGTTAAGATCACGAACACTGGCGTCTATCAAACCAGAGATATCACAGGCCCTGTCCTCATTGCTGGAGGAAATTCATTCAGCTGATGATGCCAAAATAATGCGTACAGCAGTTAGCAGCTATCGAAAGCCTGGTAGTGAGAGACTGCTTGCTAGACCAAATACCAGATCAAATCGACCACTTAAGTCATGTCCCCTTTGCAAACAAGCTGGCCGCACTAACAGCAGCCACTTTTTGAGTGAATGTAACTTCCTGCCAGACCAAGATCGCAGATACATGGTAAAAGCCAGACAGATTGCAGAAATTTTAGAAGATATCCCCGAATCCGAGAGTAGCATAAATCGAGCTGATCCCGCTTGTGATCTGAGAGATGAAGAGC